TGATACTTGATGAAAACTTAACATGGAGAGAACACATAAGTACAATAGAAAATAAAGTTTCAAAAAATATTGGTATACTATTCAAAGCCAAGCAGTTTTTAAACCAAAACTGCCTAAAAATTTTATATTTCTCCCTCATACATTGTTATATAAACTATGCAAACATTGCCTGGTGCAGCTCTAATATAAGTAAAATTAAAAAACTGCTTAGTAAACAAAAACATACTGTCAGAATTATTTCAAATGCAGGTCGATTCACACATACTAAGGAACTATTTAATAATCTTCACATACTCAATGTTTTTCAGTTAAACCTTTATCAAATTCTTATTTTTATGTACAAACTTCATAATAAAATATTACCTATAATACTTAGTACACTTTTCAATAAAATTAATCACATGTACCCTACAAGATTTTCTAAGTACAATTATGAGCAACCTAAAATGCATTATTTGGCTACCAAATTTTCTATTGCTATAAGAGGTCCTAAATTATGGAACGCTTTATTAAGTGACGACCTGAAAAATTGTTCTTCTCTTTACCTATTAAAAAAAAAAATTGAAACAAAAACTTATTAACGATGTTAATGAATTAAATTCTTTTTAAAAATTTTTTATTTTTATTTTTTCTTTATTTTTAACAATTATCTTATTAACTCTATAAACTATCCTATTAGCTTATCTATAGTTTTTATTTTATTTTTTTTTTTAATTTCTTTTTAATATTTTCTTTTGATTATAGATTAGTAACTAGTCTTAACATACTTGTAAATAACTGTATATAATTTTTTAAATGGCACAAAGTAATTGTATATTTAACTTTTAATGGTTGTACACGCTTGCTTATGAAAGCACGTCTGGGTGTAGTGGTAAGGCAAGTATTGTCTTCTTTTAACCCCGGTCATGTAGATCTTATTTATATTACACGGCATTGTATTCTCTTTTTTTACTGACGAAATAAATAAAAAAAAAAAAGAAAAAAAAAAAAGATTACCGACTAACCTGTATCGAAAGGGGCGACATTTGCCGACTAACTAGTCTAAAGGGTCCAATTTGCTCACAAAGGGTCCAATTGGCCCACTAAAAATCATTAATGGGGGGGTCACACCCCCCGCACCCACTATCGCACCGGCCTTGAGGACAGTTGTCACATATTAAAGAAGAAGAAAAACTTTTTTAATAATAGAGCCTTTAAAAATACAGTTTGAATGTAATTTAATAGTGGAAATAAACAAGCTCTTGTTATTACTTTGAAGGATTTTTTTTCGTCATTCAGGAAACGCATTTTAATACTGTTAGAAAAAGAATGAGTTGAAGATATTTTCGTTTCACTGGGCGTAAATTATACACAAGAAACGGCTATATTATGCATAAAACGTCAAGAAAAGGCTATTTTTCCGGTAATGATGCAAAAGGAAACTACAATTATGTAGCTTTAAAAATTGATGGCATAGCATATCTGACAATTGCATTTAAGCACTTTATGAAAGCGGAAATATGCAAAAACTTATTTATTGAATCGGTAATTAAATTTTGTTACAAAGTTCTAACGATTGTCAATTGTTTTAAAAAAAAAGCATATTTAGAAAAGCGCAATAGCTATCAATGTTCAGAAGAGAATGTACCTTTAATAAAACCTTATTAAACCTTATCAAAAAAAAAAAATTCAAGTTTCAAATGCGTCTTAACATCAGGGCCCATATATATATATATATATATATATATATATATATATATATATATATATATATATATATATATATATATATATATATATATATATATATATATATATATATATATATCTTTAGAACAATACTCCAGGGCTGACGACACGGGTTTTGAAGTGGGATTAAAAATTAAAGATTATAAAAATATAAGATTAAAAGTTCTTCTAAATGTATTTTCTTATAATAACAAAGAAAAGATCCTTAAGAAAAAAAAGTGGGGGGGGGGGGGAGGGGGCACGTGCTTTTCTGGCCCACCCGGTGTCGTCAGCCCTGTACTCTGTTTGTATAATAAAAGCTCAAGATTTCAACATATGTTGGAATCTTGAGCTTTCCGTATCCATTGACTCGGTTTCTTGTAATTTAAATTTTTTGTTATTTAAACAAAGTTTTAGACATTTCCCATTTATTTCTGAAATACTTTTGGACAGGAAACACATGTTACAGACTTAAAACGCTATTTAACGCTTCGACCATATAAACTGATAGATCCGCTGTAAGTTATATATTTTGAAGCCAACATCTTTTAGCGCGTGACGTCAGGTTTGGGCAAAACAAAACGCGATTCAAGCGAAATAAAGCTTTAAGAATAGAAAACTGTTTATTAAATGTAAAATTTTGTAGTAAACCTTATTACTATTATTATTATTTTTTTAAATATTATTAAATTTATCATTTGTATCAATTATTATTTTTAGATTTCTTAGATGAGAAAACGTAACAGTTAATACAATTTTATGTATTTTATTATCCATTACATTAATATACAAAACAACTTTTTATTTGTTATTTTTATTGCTTTGTTAATACACTTTGTATACGTTTATTATGTAGTAAATTGTTGATCAAGTCAGTTTTGTGGTGCAGTCTTATCTTTAAATACTAAGCAATATTAGTTTTATAATTTCTTCACCACTTTCATAAATAAATTACAGACAACGCTTAACAATATTAGATTTTTCACAACCATCTAAACTATTAAATAAAAATTATACATCAGGAAGTTTCCAACGTCCATTTACACAGTTTACCATAAAAACTAAAGTTTCTTTTGTTTTGGGTTAACTATTATTATTGATATCAGCACAAAAATCAATATAACCAGAAAATTTATGGTCTGTTTATTCAATTTTTTTTTCAAATGGCCATTTCATCTTACATAAATGAACACACAATATGTTGACCAATTTTCTGAGCCTCTTTTATTTTGCTATGAAGAGTAACTAAAGCTTCTTTACAAAATCCAGGGAAACAGTCATCACTTTTATGCCATTTTGTATATTTCCAGGATGAAGAAGTGCATTACTAAATGTTTTCCTAACATAACTATATGCTTTAGCAGAATAAAAATTGAATGTTAAAGCAAGGTTGTTAACAAGGCCAAAATTAGCAAGGACATGGCCAAAGCCACATGTTACAAGGCTAAAGCCAAGACCAATGCCAAAAGTTACAAGGTCAAAGCCTGGAATTTAAAGTCAAGGCCAAGAATAAAAATATTTTCAAGCCCAAAGACTTGAATTTTTGTCTAACGTTAAGGTCAATTATTAACAAAACTGTAGGTAACAATTCCTGTTACAATAAACCACATGTTGTAAAAATAAACCAGGGTTATGCCCAAAACTCTATGAAGTCAATAAAAAACATACTTGTGGATATGTATGATGCCGAAAACAAAAATACATAAAAATAAAGAATGAAATCTTTTAATTCTTCAATTTTATGTACTTTTTTTGAAGACCAAGGCCAAGACCAAGACCAACAGTTTTAAGACCAAGGCCTTAAGTCAAGGTCAAAGCCTAGGACTAACAACTTTGTGATGTAGCAAAGCTTCATAATTCTGGTGGGTAATGCTTTTTAACTTTTCTTGTAAAATCCGACAATATAACTGTTTTGTAGACTCAGACATAGCTCCCTAAAATTAAATAGATTAAATAAATACATTTTTAGTTACAACATCATATTTATACTTGAAAACCCAATCAAGTAAGTTAGGGCATCATTGATTGGGGTATCAAGAAATAGATGAAAATATCACAATAGCATTACAATTATAACAACAATTATTACTGTTACGACAAACACAATAATTAACTTATTGCTATTCTAACCGTAATTGTGATGAATTAAAATTTTCCTTAACTGTTATCTGATGATTAATGTAATAAGTTTTTAATCATAAAAACTTATTAATTTAAAACCATATTTTAACAGTAGGTTGACTAAAAAAAAATATTTCTAAAGGTATAACTTAATAAGAAATATGAAACAAATATTTAAAATAATGAAATAGACAAATAAAATAAAATATGTTCAACAACTACTCTTAATAAAAATATATATTATACCATTAGTGTAATTGATACTTCTTTGGAAATCATAGTATGATTCATGATTTTGATTCATCATATGATTTATACTTTTTGATTTAAAATGATGAAGGTATGAATGTAAGTCTTTAATCCTTTTTATTAAACAACAGTTGGATTGCTGAAGCATTTTAATTGTATTTAAATATATTGTTTACCATTGGTGTTAGGATTGATTTGACACTTTTCAACAATGTTTTTAAAACCATGAAGATATTATTGTCACAAAAAGTAAACTCAAACATTTACATCAATATATGATATTGTAAAAGTAATTGTAAAATATGTCATTGTAATGTATTTAAATTAGATTTACTGTATTAAATTACTAGTGATATTATTGTTAACATAAATGATATAGTTATCAACATTGTTCCTAAAAAAAAAAAAAAAAAAAAAAATATATATATATATATATATATATATATATATATATATATATATATATTTACAAACAATAATGTTGATAATCATACCATTATTGTAAACGATATCATAGATAATTCAATACAGTAAGTCTAATGTGTGTGTGTGTGTGTATATATATATATATATATATATATATATATATATATATATATATATATATATATATATATATATATATATATATATATATATATATATATATATATATATATATATATATATATATATATATATATATATATATATATATATATATATATATATATATATATATATATATATATATATATATACACACACACACATTATAATATATATATATATATATATATATATATATATAGGCACACAATATATATGTTACAAAAACTAAACTTAAAAGTTTTAAATCCATATATGTCATTGCAAAAAGATTAGTTACATTAGACTTACTGTATTTGAATCATTGGTAATAATATTTGAAATAATTCTTTGTCTATATTTTTTGGTAGTTTTCTAGAATAAATACTTTTTCATAAAAGTGTTGGGAAATTATATATAGAAGAAATTGCATTTTTTTTTTTAGTTTCTTTTGTGAACTCGAAAGACTTCCTCTATACCAGTGAAATATTTACCACAACGTTTAGACAGTTTACTAGGAGTAAAACCATCACTCCACATAACTTGTATCCATTTTCTCCTCAATTCCATATCTTTCAGAAAACTACCAACAAAAATAAGCATATTAAAATAATATGCTATTTATATTTAAAATATAATGTAGGATTTTAGAAAATAATGATTTGTAGCTACTTACACATGAAAAGAAACCTTTTTAATATATCTTTGAGTGCAATTATATGCAAAACAAGATAACATCATGATCTTTATATATCTATATTCTATTTGAAAATCAAAATTTAAACAAAATAACATACATAACAAATAATAAAACTTTAAAAATGTTAAATACATTCACCCTAAACCGATATTATAAATTGTTTAATGCCCAAACGTAACGTCACGCGCTAAAAGATGTTGGCTTCAAAGTTGTGTGAATATTAACTTGCGGTAAGGCGTGTCTATCAGTTTATATGGTCGAAGATTTAACGCATAAATGTTTCTAATATTTCAATGAAATTTCAGTAATATTTGAATGAAAACATATAGAATGACGTATTACAAGCATACATTTGCGGAAAAATACTTTTAACCAATTTTTGGCAGCCATTTTAAAATAAAAGCCAAAATCGCTGTCGTAAGCCAAAAAATGTTCTATATTTGAATTCAGCGTGACATTTTGCGTTATAAAATTTGTTATAAAAAAAACTTTTAGATTTTCTACACCATAATAATGTATATATATAGACACGGTGCATAGGAAGATGCTCTGAGACCTTGCAACACATCCTCAGAAATATTTTTTTTGTTTATTATCAGAAGTCTCTTCCTTATGTCAAAAATGTAAAAAACAACTTTTTTCACCTAGGGAGAAATCACGTATTTTAGGTGAGTGCCTAGTAATTTTGTTGTTCAAGATAGGTAACTAAGAGCTATGTGGCATAATCAAATTTTTAGTATGTTAATACTAGGTATGTTGATTGAAAATTTTAAATTGATCAAAGGTTAGATTGTTATATATCATTAGAAAGTGCTTCAATACAGTATTTCAAAGGTGAAAAAATTATTAAAATCGGACTATTGTACAAAAAGTTATGACGTTTTTAGTCGCAAATTTTTGATATATGGATTTGTTGAAGAAACTGTGGTCAAAATTTAATTTTTCTTTACTTAAATTGTTATAACTTTGTCAATTCTTGTCTAAATACCTATAACTTAGTATCAAAAGATAGGTGTAACTGTGGGCTACAAATTTATAACATCAGCCACCTATTAAGCGTTTCCTGGGGGCTAGAGGGGGTGCCGAACCACCACCTTTACCCTGAAAATAAGCATATTTCTTTCAATAAAAAGTGTTTTTTTTCAACTAACGGTTATTTTTTTTATACAAAAAATTGCCATAATTTTATTCCAGACCATCAATGATTGATGTTTATTAAAGTTGGTGGTGGATATGGTGGTGATGGTTTAACACACCCTAATTTCAAAAATATTTAATTCTCTAATTATAAATAAGTAAATATTTCTATATTTAATAAAAAACATAAAAAAAATTTTTGCTACAAGAAATTCATTTATTGGTGGTGTGCTTATTGACTTGTGGGAGGAGCGTGTGCCCCTCCCCCCCAACCTAAAAAAATAAATAAGTAAAATAAATAAATCTTTATAATAACAATTATAATTATTTTAAAATAAGTTAACAATTTAAAACCTGAATTAGGCTTTTTGCACCAAGTATAACCTACAAGCTAAAGATAAAGACCACAACTGAGCCTACTTTTGAAAAAAAAGTCTTTCCGCTGCTATTCGTAAATTTTGGTTAAGTTGAGAAGTTTGTTAAATAGGGTGGTAATGGTTACCCACAACCTACAATAAAAAGATGTTGAATTCTTAAAAATAATTGTATCTTTAACAAACAAAATAAATTAGTATATTTCATTTTTTGATATTTCATTAAATATATTTTATTTCATTACCAAATATATCAGTGTTGTATCCTATAAAAAAATGTAACAATCAATTTTATATTGTTCTGTATTAAAACATTTTAGATATCCTAAGTTTAAATAGTTGTCTTAGCTTTTAGTAAATAATTAAAATAGTCAATATCATAAATGGAACACTAAAATAATCATTTGTAACGATAGACACCACGTGAAGATAAGCCAGAGCTGCCTATCAAAATATTTTGCAAGTCACAACACTTGTGCAAAGGTCATTCCAAGTCAAATACTTTTATTCTTCTCTAAAAACATTTATAAAAAAAAAGTAAAACAAAAACATATGGTTTAATACCAGGCATACCTGACTTGATATGACTACTTCTTCAAGTTATATTACTTACAATACCTTTATACAAGTTTCATCATATGCCGT